AAAGAAAATACCGTAGCACAGCAGTTCCCAGGTACATGCTGGAGAGGGGACACTCACTCCCTACCGTCTCAGTTCTCACCTAACGGTGTCTGCGTCCGGTGAAAGCTGCTTCAGCAGAGACGGTCACAGAGCAGCGTGGAGTGAGCTGGCTTGTGGGGTTGTCTTTTCCATCCCCTTACGCAGGGCCTGGGAGAAGGGAGCGGCAGTTGGCCAGGCCTCTGCCATGGGTCATCAGGGTCATGTCCAGGTGGCTGCCACGGGGTGGCAGGGGGGAGCCTGGAGCACTGGAGCACGTTCACACCCACTGAGGGCACAACCTGACCGCTGCACACCCTTCACCTCTGCGGTGCCAGGACTGCATGCTCAGGCGCGGTGGGGCACGTTGCTGTGTTCATTTGCGGGGGAGCTCTGGGGTGGTGGGCCCACCTGGCCCTGGACTGGAATGACTCCTCTCTGCTCTGTGACCAGACATGCGACCGCATCAAGCAGTCAGCCAGCGGGACCAAGCGTCGTGTCTTCATCATCGAGACCATGGGGGGCTACTGCGGCTACCTGGCCAACATGGGAGGGCTGGCGGCCGGAGCCGACGCTGCCTACATTTTTGAAGAGCCCTTTGACATCAGGGACCTACAGGTATGGGATGGGGCTGGCCTGGGGGACCATACCCGTGGGACCCACTCAGTGCTGCCGAGTCATGTTTAGGATGGTTTCCTTTTTGAGGGGCATGCAGATGGAGGTGGCACTCCGCAGCGTCCAGGTGCCTTGACCGTGTTGGTGATGGTGGAGGCACGTGGTTGAGGACACCTTCTGTGTGTGAAACACGAGCTTGTTCCTTTTGCCTACAAATAAGTGATATAGTCTGTGGTGTCATGTTCTGTCACTGTGTCACAATTTGAGAGACTCCACCGTCACCACCCACGTAGGCAACTGGCTCTGAAGGTTCTGCAGCTTCTGTTAAATCCCGAGGCCTCCGACGCGGCGCCTGCCTCTAAAGTGACAGAGGCGGCCATGGTTTCTTGGCATCTGTGGCTCTTTTAGGGAAGGGTGGTTCAGCCATGTGTGGCTTCCGACTCAGTTCCTCCACCCAGGTGTGGCCAGAGCCCTAGGAGGAGGCTACACCAAGGAAGGACTGGTGGGTGTCCGGGAGCCACGAGCCTCAGCACGCACCGCGTACGCCTGGATGCGTGGAGAGGCCGGGCCGTGTCTGGGGAGCCACGAGCCTCAGCACACACAGTGTGCGCTGTCGGTGCGTGGGGAGGCCTGGCCCGGTCCCTGTCGCCGACCCTAGGGTCTGCCCCTGCTTAGACGGCACAGCAGAATCCAGGCCTGGACTCTGCAATGTTCCAAGTTGCTAAACTCCATGCAAGAGAACAGGCCTTGGCAGATGAGACGCAATTTTTGTCTTTTGAAAAATTAGGAGGTTACCTGTTTCTGCGCCAAACAGATCAAGTAAAAAGGGCCTTGGTGTTGACACTAATTACGTGACACATGAATCACAAACCTCGTCCCCACGTGAAATGAAGTATTTGTGGTCATTCACTGCAACACGATGTTACAACAGTGGGTCCCATAAGATTATAATGGAGCTGCCCCAGCCAGGTATGGTTTTTAATCTTCTACAAATTTTTTTTTTTTGAGACGGAGTTTCGCTCTTGTTACCCAGGCTGGAGTGCAATGGCGTGATCTCAGCTCACCGCAACCTCCGCCTCCTGGGTTCAGGCAATTCTCCTGCCTCAGCCTCCCGAGTAGCTGGGACTACAGGCACGCACCACCATGCCCAGCTAATTTTTTATATTTTTAGTAGAGACGGGGTTTCACCATGTTGACCAGGATGGTCTCGATCTCTTGACCTCGTGATCCACCCGCCTCGGCCTCCCAAAGTGCTGGGATTACAGGCTTGAGCCACCACGCCCAGCCAAAAAGCCATTTTTAACTGTGCTTTTCTACACCTAGACATGTTTAGATACACAAATCCTAGCCATTGTGTTACAACTGCAGTATTCAGCAGGCCCAGACATTTAGGTTTGCAGCCGGAACGGGCTGCCCGATAGCCCTGGCGGTGCAGCAGACTCTGCTCCTGGTTTGTCTAAGTTCGCTCTAGGATGTTTGCACAGGGATTAAGTCACCTAGCAGTGCATTTCTCAGGAAATATCCCTGTTATGTGACACAAGACTGGGTTTCCAAAATCTATCCAAAGGTCATGCCTCACCAGCACTTAGTGTGGCAAATGCTTAAGTAACTGACTTCTTTTTGAGATGGAATCCTGCTCTGTCGCCCAGGCTAGAGTGCAGGGCGTACAGTCTCAGCTCAGTGCAACCTCCACCTCCCTGGTTCAAATAATTCTCTTGTCTTAGCTTTCCAAGTAGCTGAGACTACAGGTGTGTGCCACCATACCTGGCTGATTTTTGTATTTTCAGTAGAGATGGGGTTTTAGCATGTTGGCCAGACTGGTCTCAAACTCCTGACCTCAGGTGATGTGCTTGCCTCGGCTCCCAACACGCTGGGATTACAGGCATGAGCCACTGGGCCTGGTGACAGATTTGAGTAGATGTAAAAATCCCCATTTTCTTAGGATGAGTCAGGAGAAGACCACCTCCCAACGTGATCTGAAATAGAATGTTTTTATGCTTTTCTCAAGACAACCTTCTTTTCCTTAAACAATCTGTGTACAAATGTGAGCCTGTGAAATTCTTCCTTGGGCCGAAACTGTTCATGAGGCTGTCATCTGAGAGTCCATAGAAAGGCCACAGGTGGTGATTTTCCTGAGAGCTCCAAGAGAACAGCATCCTGAAAAAAAAAAAAAAAGGAGCGAGAGAGACATGAATGAGCGTTAGGCAAATGCACGGAATTCTCGTGTTAAGAGGGACGCTGTTGACTCTGGAAGGTGTTTCTAACCGCCCCCCGCCACCGCGAGGGCTGCTGGCTGCACCCAGTCCGCACTCATCGCTGTGGATGTGCTCTCCCTGCCTGGGGAAGGTTCCCCAAGATCTGAGCCACGAGAGCCACAGCCGCCTCCAGCACACTGGGTCGGCACTTCTTGCCCTGCAGTGCCTGGCACACAGTAGGTTCTTAGAAGTTTATTGTCTGATTAACACGATACCCGTTTCCAGTCCAACGTGGAGCACCTGACGGAGAAAATGAAGACCACCATCCAGAGGGGCCTTGTGCTCAGGTGAGTGAGACCAGGGCTGACCTCGCCCACACCGCCACACCCTGGCTCCTAGGCTCCTCGGCTGTGACGCAGGCTGGAGGAGGGGTCGTTTCTTTGCTGCCAATCCGGAAGACTCATGGTGCCTTGCTCTAAATACTTGCCTGCCTTTAGACAACTAAAGGGTGATTTTAAACATGTATTTTTGCTTTGTAGTCTTACTGTTTTCGATAAGTCACAATCATTTCCCTAATTAGCACCTGACATTAATGAAGGAAGGAGGAAATGCAGTCAGGGAATGTGTCCCAAGACCCCAGTGGGTGCCTGAGCCCGGGGCTAGTGCCTGCCCCCCGTATACACGAGGGTTCTTCCACCTCATACCCAAGGCGGCTACTGACTTGGGCAGGAGGCACAGTCAGCGTGGAGACGGAGGACACCGGGAAGATTCACGCACTGGGTGGGACAGAGCAAGACAGCACGAGATTTCATCATACTACTCAGAATGGCATGCAGTTTAAAACTTGCATATTTATTTCTGGAGTTTTCCATTTAATATTTTTGGACTTTAGTGGAACACTTGACCATGGGAACTGAAACTGCAGAAAGCAAAGCCTTGGACTGGAGGGACGATGTATAGTCACAGTAGGGCCAGGGGACACAGGAGGCCAGGCTGCCAGGGCCATCCCCCCACCAGCAGGGAGCTGCATGCCCAGTGCACGCTTAACAAATGGCTCCTTCCCACTCGTTTCAGAAATGAGAGCTGCAGCGAAAACTACACCACCGACTTCATTTACCAGCTCTATTCGGAAGAGGGCAAAGGGGTGTTTGACTGCAGGAAGAATGTGCTGGGCCATATGCAGCAGGTGAGCCCGAGACCCCAGTGAGGGGCCTGCAAAGCCACTGTCACGTCATTTTTACAAGCTTAATGTCTTATTTTAGCCATTTTTGGGGGGAAAACATGTATCTACAAGTAAATTTCGAGATAAAAATCAGCTGAACTTTTTGAGATGGAGTCCCAGTCACCCAGGCTGGAGTGCAGTGGTGCAATCTTGGCTCACTGCAGCCTCCACTTTCCAGGTTCAAGCAATTCTCCTGCCTCAGCCTCCCAAGTAGCTGGGAGTACAGGCACTTGCCGCCATGCCCGGCTAGTTTTTGTATTTTTAGTAGAGATAGCGTTTCACCATGTTAGCGAGTCTGGTCTCGAACTCCTCACCTCAGGTGATTCACCTGCCTCGGTTTCCCAAAGTGCTGGGATTACAGGTGTGAGCCATCGTGCCCTGCCAATACATCTGAACTTTTAAGTCATGCCAACATTACCACTTTAGGATTCTTGTTTTTGTTTGTGAGGTTTGAATAATGGGATCTTGACTGTCAACTTTCATGTAAAGCATGATACCCTCTTACTTGGAAATACTTATTCAAATTAAACACTTGAATAAATTAAAAATTGGAGCTTCCTAAGATTTAAAATGGATTATCAGACTTAAGTCTGTTAAAAAAAGAGAAATGCCAACTTCTATTTCACAGAAACCATGTTTTTAAAATAAACAGCAAAGTGTTACTGTGTAACTGCTATTTCATATAATTCTAACCACCAACAGGGTGGAGCACCTTCTCCATTTGATAGAAACTTTGGAACCAAAATCTCTGCCAGAGCTATGGAGTGGATCACCGCGAAGCTCAAGGAGGCCCGGGGCAGAGGTATGGAGGCTGGGGAGGGAGGCCACAGCCCACCTCGTATCTGAGTGTTGCAGTAGGATCAGCTTGGTCCTGATGTGTTCTTTTGTGCAGGCTTTTTGCTTTTGCTCTGGAGATCCTGAACATTTGCCAGCAATTTTTCCTCTAGTCCTGGGGTTCGCGTCATAGTTGAAGTGGGGCTTTTTTTTGGATGTTTGGTAGGACAAGCTCCCTGTGAATCTATTCATTAAAACTTCCAGTTTTGGTTGAGGACGACTTAACTGCTGAATGAATTTTTCATGTTTATAGAACTATGCATGTTTTTTCTTGAATCAGTTTTATAAGTTACGTATTCTAAGAAATCTTCAAAAAACATGACATTTTGTTTTGTTTGAGACAAAGTCTTGGTCTGTTGCCCAGGCTGGAGTGCAGCTGCTCACTGCAACTGCTGCTTCCCAGGTTTGCGCAATTCTCCTGCCTCAGCCTAAGCAGCTGGAATTATAGGCGCCCACCAATACGCCTGGCTCATTTTTGTATTTTTAGTAGAGATGGGGTTTCACCATGTTGGCCAGGCTGGTCTTGAATCGACCTTAGGTGATCCGCCTGCCTCGGCCTCCCAATGCTGGGAGTACAGGCATGAGCCCCTGCGCCTGGCCCCCACTCGTTCCTGAGAATGGCTGTTTCTGCCAGCATCTTTCTCCCCCTCACCTCTCAGCATGCTTCATCAGTCATACCAGATGTGTGCTTTCATTAGGGCAAGCCATATCTTACTTCAGTGTCCACCTTAGGGAAATTGACAGTCTACAAAAAACAATGATGTGAAGAGTTTCATGTTGTCTTTTTGAAGAACTGACTCTGGCTTCAATTCTTTCTACATCAACTTCCACTTTTTGGATTTTCTTTTTTACAGATTTATCTATGGATGTTTCTGTGTATATTCATGAGCATAACTTTCTTAATGTTTTCCTGTAATTTAAGCTAATTTCCCTATTCCGCTATTCAGTGAAAAATGTATTTACCTCCACTGGGAGAAAAAACAAAAGCTCCTTTCCAGGAAGCCCTCTCTGGGGTGGCTGAAATACTAGTGAGGAGCAGGGAGGAAGCCATCAGGGCGGTCCCCTCTCCTCCCCCAGCCCTGCAAGAGCAGAGCTGCACAAACCCAGGGTGGACGCTGCGGGCTGGTGTCAGTCTCTCCTGGGTTTCCAGTCCACTTTCACAGCGTGGTTCTGAGGAATCTCAATTCTCATCTTGCCCCAAGATTCTGCTCCCCCACCTGCCCAGGTGATTGATAGGGTGTTATTAACATCTTTTTTTTTAAACTTTTATAGGAAAAAAATTTACCACCGATGATTCTGTTTGTGTGCTGGGAATAAGCAAAAGAAACGTCATTTTTCAACCTGTGGCAGAGCTGAAGAAGGAAACGGATTTTGAGTAAGTCCAGGTCTTAATGCCTTAGAGAACCCAACTGACCTGAGTGCAGGGCAGGGGAACGGCCGTCACTGTCAGCAACCCAGTCAGGGGTGTGAGAAAATGGCTTTTCTGAAGCTGAGTTAAATACTAGGTCTTTAGAAAGAGGGAAGAGTTTTTAGAAATATAAAAATGGTTTCATTTGACCTTGAAATCAGCTTTATCATCCAGTTGATTCTGCTGACCCTACAACCCCTGCCTTTCTGGTGAGACCGCGCAGGGCAGGCAGAGGCGTCTCCCAGGCACCTGCAGGCTCACTGCCGCCTCTGCTTCCCTCCCAGGCACAGGATTCCCAAAGAACAGTGGTGGCTGAAGCTGCGGCCCCTCATGAAGATCCTGGCCAAGTACAAGGCGAGCTACGACGTGTCGGACTCGGGCCAGCTGGAGCACGTGCAGCCCTGGAGCGTCTGACCGGGCCCTGCCTGCCTCTGCTGGCCGCACCACGGACCGTCCGTTTTTGTAACACTTAAGTTATTTATCAGCACTTTACTGCAAGTATTATTAATCCCTAATCAGTAAGCACCTGTCACTGCCCATGACCCCCTCAGAGCCAGTGCGTGCTGTCTGTGGACTGTGCCTCATGCTTCCAGATGTGCGTATTAGCAGAATTAAACGTTTGCCTACAACTCCAGCAGTCCTCCGTGTTTTTTAAGTAGGAGATTAAAAATTTTGCTCATCTTTGCCCACAAAACTGTAGCTGCCCGAAGACAGAGATTTTAAAGGGCTCACTGATCTATGCACAAGTCATAAAAGAACAAAGCTAGTAGTCTGACACATGGCGTTTCCATCCACAGCAGCAGGCCTCCACCCCAGGCTCCTGCACTCTTGAAAGTAAAATAAAACACAGGAAGCTTATCCACTCACCCTCTTGACTGCAATCCTAGTTGCGTATTAAAACCACCGAGGGAGGGTGGTGGTTTAAAAATCTGATAGCCAGCTTCTCCAGGCCACGCCACGGTCGTCACTGGAACCTGGGTTGGAACTCTAACTCTTGCCAGAGTAGACACAGCTGTTGGGGGGGACAGCCCCCCTCCTGTAGGGACAGCGTTACAGCGTTTCTGCCTCCTAGATCTAGTCTGCAATAGATGACAGCTATGTGGAGTAGATGCCAAAAACACACTGTTGGGGAAATCAGAACCCAAGGAAGAGCTGGCGCAGAGGCTTACCTTTCCGTGTCTGAGAAGACAGGGCGAGCACTTACCCCAACTCCCCTGCTCTTCAGGATGGTTTCCATCCGGCCGCCCCGCTGCACGCCCGTCTGTTAGGGGACGCTCCTGAGGTCCTCGGTGTGGCTGCGGTCCATAAATCAGCACAGGCAGGTGGGACAGCCTTGTGCAGCTTTTCACTTTACTCCTACATTTAATAAAGGCCCTAAATGCTACTTAAAATAATGATTCAAGCACCGTAAGTCAGAGTTGCCCTTTATTTTTAGATTCCTAAATAAATATTCTAGGGTTAATCAGGCAAAAGTCAGTCTTTCTGTCACCACAAAGCTAAAGTTCTACATGGCACATCTTTGCTGTTTCATGCATGATTATCAAGATAGATAAAGTTTTTATCTGACCTGCCAGTCAATGGCTTTGGCAAAATTTTAAGAATGACATCATATCCTTGGAAAAAGCAGTAACATTTCTGCCTTTTCCAGTTCGGCTCAGAGGCTCCTTTTCTCAACGCCTGTGTGTGTAGCACACCTGAGCTCCTGCGCCGTCAGAAGCTCCACGGCTGCTCAACTGATGATCCAGGATGGGTCCTTGGCGATTTTTGCATTCTCTGGTCCAAGTATGGCCAGGCCATGTGTGCTCTTTCCCGTGCCAAGGTACCTGAGAGGAAGGCGTGGTCAGCGTGTGAAAGGGCGCGCGCAGGCCTCAAATCCCAGGCGCCGTCTCTCCTGCTCCCCACTCACCTGTCGCTCACGGCCAGGAGCTTGTCACGGCTGACGGCAAAGAGCTGCTCCCTGTGGGCCTGCTTCATATCATCTGAGAGGCCGGACAGGAAGTAGTCCATTCCTAGAAGACAAAGCACAGGCACCATGACGCTGCCGCCCATGCGCTGTGGGCTGTGCACTCGGGTCCTGGAGGAGACGTGGACATCTCACTGTTACTTCATGTGAACGTATTTCAACCACGGGGACATATCTAACAGACCAGAGATCACACCCCCACCTCCAGCTCCCACAAGCCACGCTGACCCTACCAACGCCTGCTTCTGCAGCATGGACGAAGTCAGGGCCACATGAGGCTGATGATGCTGTCAGCAGAAGTGGCTCTACAGAGTAACGTGGCCATGCCCATGTACCCCTTCTACGCTAATGAGCCAGGACCCTGGCGTGGGTTGGCCCCACTGGGCCTCAGCTCAGTAAAACTGAAATGACTGGAGACACTTTTCTTGCCTGGATGTTGGGAAGAGTGTTTCAAGCCCCACGTTTAGGGTGATAGACATGGAAATCATCACAAGCAGGGACACGGATGGCAGAAGCTGTTGCGCCTGCCCATGCATGTGGGGACTCCGAAAACGGCAATGCCATCTGTGAGGCTGTGGGCTGAGATTCTCGCTGTTACACCCAGAATACCTTTGTCAGAAGGAGCGACAGGAGCATCTACGGTCGAGAAGACAGAAAGTTTGGCTTCGTCGATGTCTTGCTGTGTGAATTTTCCCGACTTAGCCCAGTCAACAGCCTTCCCAAAAGACTGGAGTGTCTCCATTGTATTTGGGTCCCTAGGAAACCCAGAGAAATAAACAGTCAAGCACTTTACCAGAGGACAAGTTAATCACAACCATCTGTCAACAGTTGAACATCTGTGTGAACAGCTCTATGTTACACATTACAGTCCAAACAGCCCACTGACAAATCGCTTAATTACTCTCAATGGAAATTTAAATCCGATCACATAAGTCATTCAACACATTCTCCCTCTACTTAGACGAGGTCCATCTGCAGAACATTCTCCCCAGATTATTTAAATACACCCCTGTGACCTCATCAGGAGAGGAAAGTGGAGAGTCCAGGGTGGGGGCAGGTTGGGATTACAAAGAAATTACAGAAGACTCAAGTGGAAAAATTAAGCTAAGGTTGTCCTTTACTCTCCCTTAAGAAATACCCAGGATAGTCCAGGAATCAGCCTGAGGGGCCAATCCAGACTTCCGTCTGTGTAAGCGTTAAGAGTCCCACCCTCCCTCCACCCTGATTCAGAGCTGCAGAGGGGCTGTGTGCTACTTCCCCATTCTTGTCTAGAAGTGTGGCTTCCAGCACGGCAACACGGCAAGAGGGAGAGCTCCTTAGAGTGGCAATGGCTGCCTATCTGCCTGCATGTCTGCCTGCCTCATCTACCTATGCATCCAGGAGCCAGGGTCTCACTCTGTCGCCCAGCCTGGCATGCAGTGGTACATCTTGGCTCACTGTAGCTTCAATCTCCCTGGGCTCAAGTGATCCTCCTGCCTTAGCCTCCTGTGGCTAGAACCACAGACACTTGCCACCAAGGCTGCCTAGCTTCTTATAGTGTTAGAATACACCTTCTCTTGGGCAGGAGAGTCACAGAAAATCAGGAATTTATTGTTTTAGAGTAACGGTGTTATGTTTATGAAGCTAACAGAACAGCATCCACATTAGGCACCTAAAACTGAAATAAGAACGCTCTGACGCTATATCGCAGCCCCAACAACTAGGGCCTGTTCCAATACCTGGAGGGCAGGGCTGCATCCTCCTGAGACAGTGCTGAGTCCTATGGACACTATGGTTTTTATTTTTTTCTATATCTTTGTTAAAATTTACAAATTAAGTACAGCAAGGTATTAACAAAATTCAACAGTTATAATGTAATAAAAGGTATGGTGATGAGCTACTATTAACTAAAACAAGGGTTTTTTGAACATAAGCTCTTACCTGACAATGTATCTGACCTATACGGCTACTGATGACCCACAGGCAGGTAGTGTAGACAGTGTGAGATTTCATCCCACTGCTTCGAAGAATGGTGTGCCATTTAAAACTGAGGAAGTATTTATGTCTGGAATTTTCCATCTAACATGTCCAGACTGAGGGTAACTGTGGGCACGAAAGTGTGGAAAGCAAAACCATGGATGGAGGCACTACTGAGTTTTGCCGAAATATGCTGGTTACAGCATGCCCAGTTTGCTCAAGGAGAATGCTTCCTGTTTAGGCTGCTAGCCCTAATCCTTGTACCAGAAGGACATTGCTGCGTGTGGCTAAGTGCTCAACGAGCGAAAGGAAACAAACGGAACTTTTCTTTTTCTAAGGTTCAATGCAGTAGAAGAAAATGATAGATAATCCCAAGTAGAAGACTACAGATAAACCGATGTGTGCATCCAAGTATGTGGAACAGAGAAAACCTCACCTGTAAGAGTAAAAGGTGAAAATCCCATTGTGGCTGAGTTTTGCACCTCCAGCATAAGCACCACCTTTTTCTCGAATTTCTGTATGCAGAAACTTAGCAGTCATCAAACATGCAAGGATTTTAAGACTGAAATGAATGATTAGAAAATGTAAGTTAAAAACATGTCTGATAAAAAAGCATATGCAGTGAAATAATTATTGGAATAAGTGAAAATGAAAATAAACTCAATCTGTAAAGTAATGCCATATAAATTATGGTCCCATATTTTGGTCTTGTTTTTTACAAGATGGGGGTCTCGCTGTCTCCAGGCTGGAGTGCACTGGTGCAGTCACAGCTCACTGTAGCCTTGAACTCCTGGGCTCAAGGGATCCCTCCCCCCTCCCCAGCCTCCTGAGTAGCTGGGACTACAGGTGTATGCCACCAAGCCTGGCTATTTTTACGTATTTTGTAGAGGCAGGGTCTAGTTTTGTTGCCCAGTCTGGTCTCAAACTCCTGGCGTCAAGCAATCTTTCTGCCTTGAAAGTGCTGGGATTACAGGCAAGAGATTTTTTTTTAATTACCAACACTAAAAACCACAAGGAAGAACAATTTTCAAAGAGTTGGCTTAGATTACAGGGTTGAAGTGAGAGGTGGTGGGGAGGAAATCAACACTTCCAGCATCACACTGCTTCACTTGTTCCAATGTATACATGTCATTTTAAAATCTGATCAAGTAGAAAGCAGTTATTTCTACTGTAAAGGCAAATGTGCAAATGAACGTTTATTTAAATGCCTCACATTAGAATACGGAAAAAAAGGAAAGTTAAGTCAGAGTTTTGTAGGAATCCCTTAAGAAAACACACACACTCCACTAAAGCACATTTCTAGGAACGAAGCTGATTTCCTTTGCCTTCCACTGTGAATGGTAGTATCACACTCTAGATGACTCCAGAATGCATCCACCTTCGACAGAAGGCAGAGCCATGCCTGCCACTGCAGGGAAGTCAATGATGGTACCATCTGCAGTAGACACAGGCTCCCCAAAGATGCCCATGGCAAGATCAGCCCCAGGTCCCTGCTTCTACTACACCTTTTCCCAAAGCAGATGAAGGGGGTCAAATAGGCCAGGTGGGAAATGGAGGAAGGAGTGGGCGTGTTCCCAGCGGCTGTGGTAGAAGTCACAACCATCTAGCGTGGGTCCACCAGGAGAAACCCGACACCACTTGGGTGGCTGGGGCACCATCAGCTGAGAACAGCGAGGCTGGAGCCAGACCCTGGGGGAGGGAGCCCTGACGCACCAACAGGGACTGGCATTTCATCTGTCCATATGATACTCTTGAGAAGCTTCTATTACTTGTATATTACATTAAAACCACATGCTCATTGTTGAAAGACTACAAAATACCAGAAACCAGGAGAAAAACATCTATTAGCCTCTTCACAGTTTCCATGTTTTCGGTCTACATCTTCCTATTGGACGGCGCGAACAGGCATCACTATTCTGCTGGCACAGCAGACAGATATCTACCTTTTGCAAATATGGAAATAAACGGACAAAACAGCTGAGCCACTATCATCTTTTCTACAGATCTGAGAGCTCTTCTCTTTCTGGGCCCCCACTGCAGCCCCACGTTTCTTCCTGCCTGGCTCCTCCACCCCTCCTGTGACACACATGTACCCTGAAGGCCCAGCTCCTTCTCCAGTCAGGACAGGCTGCACAGGCCTAGCCTGCCTTCCCCCTCTACCAGGCTCCCTCTTTGGTTTAGGCCCTCATGGGGGTAGCTGCCTGGGACAAAGACATAGGAAGTGAATTTCCGGGATATAAGATGCTTGCACATATCTGTGTCACACTCACACACCCAATTGACGGGTCCCCAAAGGTGCACGTCTGTGAGTCTGTCTTCCCGGTCTAGTCAGTTTCCCCAGATGGGATGAACACAGACACGGGGCAGCCACAGTTCAGAAGGGCCTGGAGGGGCCAGTCTGTGGGCTACAAATTCGCTCACTTCATGCCACTTTGAGAGCAGACCTGACCCTGACACTCAGCTGTGGCTTCAGCCCTTCAACCAAGGGCCTCCTTCCCTGAGCTTCTGACTTGGTGGGGAGACGGGGGAGGTGTACTCCTTAGAGCAACTGTGAGCTGGCCTCCAGCCCCGCCAGCTGCAGCGCTCTGCAGCACCCCTGGTCTCTCCCCACTGCCCTGTCCCTCCGTGGCCCATGCCAGGCACACCCACCCACCCACAGTCATGATCATGAGGTTCTCTGGCAGCCCCCACAGTTGCCTCCCACTCTTTCCTCCGTGGCTTCCTGTCTTAACCTGCCTTTGCTCTCGTTCCATGCATCTGTCTTCATGAAGGCTTAATCTGCCATGTGGATCAGAAATCAGCCTAAATTCACTCAGTTTTTACCTAGAGATGAGGTGAGTACATGGGGCATTTTGAAAGGAGTCTGTGTTTAGGGTCACAGATGCCTGTTTTGTTTATAGGAATCCTCAAGAATAGAAACTGTTTATAAAGGTGACTGGCTCTAAAGCTGGGCCTTTGCTCACGAAGACTCTGCTGTTTAAGGAGGAGCGCTCAGAGACATGCAGCCCCCGGCCCAACACTCGAAGTTGGCGTGGACTTCCCACTAAAACACACCCTGCGAACTCCAACAGGCTTGACAAGCTGCTTCCATAAGGCTCAGGCCTGGGAGGGCCCGACCTCCACCCTCCTACCTGGCATGATCTGGGTCCGTGTAGGGGACAGTTCGGATGCATTCGCCCACGTAGTTCACTGGGAAGGGCATCAGGAAGTGGGTCTTCATCTGCCAGGGCTTGAAGGTGGGTTCCTGAGGGACAAGGTATAGTCAGAGGCTGTGCTGCCAGGCACCGCCCACAGCACTGGGACACAAGAGCAAGACACTGCAGTTATGTCACTTCACACAATTTCTCACTGCAAAACATCAAGTCCTCCAATTCTGACATGATGCTTTACTGTTCAATTAAAAACATTTCCCTCCACACCGTTTCTATCACAGCTGATGCTCTGGGAATGTGTTAAATCACTCTGCTCCACAAGGAACTGAATCAAACTGCATCAGCACCACGCTGAGGGAGGGGAAAAGAACTGTCAGGCTGCTCCACTGGTGTAGACTCAGCTCAGGAGCTATGTTCAAAGCAGGGTGAGCTGCCCAGGAGGAGACCACCCAGAGCAG